ATTGTTAAGAACAAGGAGCTCTAGCCGATTTTGCTCAGCGGATAGAGCATTGGCTTTCGGGTCAAAGATTCCCAGGTTCTATTCAAGTCAAGAGCACATACCTAGGTTGCAGGCTCCTTCATCCTCAGTCCAGGCCCTGGTTGGGGCTTGTGCAGGAGGCAACTAATTGTTGTGTTTCTTTCACATCAATGCTTCTCTCTCTCTTTCCCTCACTCTTCCATTCTCTCTAAGAATCAATGGGAAAATATCATTGGGTGAGGAATAATAAAACAAACAAACAAAAAAACAAGAAAATTAACTGGATGCAAGTAATATAAAAGTTTATAATGGACAGGGTTGACACTGTGTCAGGCACTTTAAAATTTTTTTTTTAACATATTTTGATTATTTGCTTATTTGGTTTGGTTCCTGGGGGGTCCCTGGCTAAGGAGTATCCTTAAGTCTCTTGGCATTCTCCCTCTAATAGTTACTGTAGTCTCCCTAGTATGCTGTATTCTTTCAAAGGTCTCAAGTGCAATTTTTGCAACCATCAGCAGTACATCAGGTGGTCTCACTGCATTTGGAGTAACAGAAATAACTTTAACAATGAGTTGAGCAGCAAGAACAATTTTTCCACAGATTTGACATCATACCCTATGCATTTCCCAATGAGACAAGAACACTTTCACTCTGATGGTGACTGAGAGTGGCACTAATACCAAAATTTTGGACCAGCTCACATGTAGGAGAGGATGACCAAAAAAGGGGGGAGGGTTATTAAATTAATTAAACAAAGAGGCCATTAAACTGATGTGGCTCTAACACCATGGTGATCTACCAAAATCTTAAAGTTTTGATTTTGGCAAATCCAAATCTAGGTCTGTAGGTATTTCATGGTTACAAAATCAAAATGCTAAGAGTAACCCATCACAAACAACCAACTAGGCTTTAAATTACAGCCAATTGGTAATTTCCTTACTTTTTCTCCATAAAAGTCTCTCTCTCAGCTCCTGCTGACAGAGCACTCCTAACCACCTCTGGTTTGGTGCTGCCCAATTGGAATTTTGTTCAAACTCTTAAAATTGAAAAAGAAAAATCTCCTTAAGAGAAATTATTGGGTTGAAAGAGATGTTTTTTTTTCATTTATTATTTTCTTGATTATCAAAGTAAGATAATCTTATCATAGACAATTAAAAATACAATAAACTGAGAAAGAAAAAATTCAGTATTTTTTGTAACTGGACAACCAAGAGGTCCGGGCTGCCTGTCACCACTTCAGCCAATTAAGGAGAGAAAGGATTGAATCCTATATGAGCGTTTATTTCAGTAATGCTGGCAGTGTGGGAGAGCAGCAGGTCATCCATAATAATCTGCTCTGCCTCTCCCTTTAAGCCAGCTGCTTATATTGGGTAGAAGGGCAAAGATTGCATGGGAAAGTAGGAATTACAGGCATGGGGAAGCAGGGACAGGATAAGCATTACAGGTTACAAGTTATAATATGTGGGCTGGCAGGGGTCAGAGAGCAGCTCTTCTGGGCACCCTGGGACCAAATTACAAGCAATAGAAGCTGGGGGTTGTAAAGGGCAGGTGTCTCGGGGACTAGGGACTAGATTGTTTCAGCCATGAGGTTGTAAATCTCTCCATAACGTTATGCAGTTCTCGGGTCAGGAGGCTGGGCTGCATTACGACATTGGCTTCCATGTCCCAGGGCGTACAACTCCCAACCAGGTTAGAATGTGCTTTCTCTAAGGAGAACAGACCCATCACAGTTATTAACAAAGCATGATTAATATTTCTTATAATTGTAACTAGTCCCCAATATTCTCTTTCTGCCCCTAACACTTTCACCCGTTTCAATCAATGTCAATGTTTTGACATTATTTCTTCCGATTTATGCAGGTTCAAGGAATAAACATTTTTAAGGCTTTTCACCGTGCTACCAGAAATGCTTTCAATTTACCAATTATGTCCTCCTTTTGGAACTATTCTGAAAACACTAACATCTAAAAACTATCAAGAAGTATGATTCTTTCAGAACCTTTCGTGATTTTGGTCTGGCTCACTCAGAGTCTGTTGTGAACATAAAACTGTAGAACAAGGCCTAAAAACACTATAGAAATAGTTTTGGCTCAGTGAATAGAGCGTTGGCCTGTGGACTCAAGGATCCCAGGTTTGATTCCAGTCAAGAGCATGTACCTTGGTTTCAGACACATCCCCATTCGGGGGTGTGCAGGAGGCAGCTGATCTATGTTTCTCTCTCATTGATGTTTCTAACTCTCCCTCTCCCTTCCTCTCTGTAAAAAAATCAATAAAATATATTTAAAAACAAACAAACAAACAACTATAGAACAAATGTTACTTGGAAATCTCATTTCCAGTGTTTGCTTTCTTCAGATAATTAGATGATTCTTTTTTCATAGTCAGGAACCCGTTTAATTCAATTGTGTCGATATTTCTAAGTTAATTTTAACATAACAATTTTCAAGGTGGCAGGAGCATGATTGTGCGAATGCATCAGTGCACAGGCTCTGGTTGAAGTCTACTCTTCTGAAAGGCTACCTTTGTTAATGATTTTCATTCTTGGGCAATTGAAAATGCCTGTTTGACAGGTAGCTGTGAATGGAAGTCAGCTCACTGATCCTTCCAGATGAAGATAGATTATTGGTCATTTATTCATACCAGTTTCTGGGATGAATAGAAGAAAATATTCTCTTTTTTTAGGGCTTCCCAATCTTTTTCATGGCATGACATACATAGAAAATAATTATATTTGTTCTCTACACTGGAATAATCACATAAGGCTGATGCAATCACAGGTGACTGACTGCCTGGGAGCCTTGGAGCCGACTTGGTTGTCCTAAGAGCTGAAGGATACAGGTTCCAGTCTCCTGTAAAGCATTCTTGGTACATCAGGGCTGGCCCTGCTTCTGATGTTATGAAGAGCATACCTTTGTGTTTTTAGTTTTTTTAAGAGATGCTGCTTCTGTGTGTGTGTGTGTGTGTGTGTGTGTGTGTGTGTGTGTATTTAACCCATTTCTTGTATTGATTGTACCGGGGTTTTATCATAGTGAAACCCCTCCTATTTAGTAGAAATAATGATCTTTTTCCTGACAACTTTCTGATCTTACCTCTTCACTATTGTCCATAAAATATGTGTAACTCCTCTTCCAAAAGTTTTATTTTATTTCTCTCGCCTAGAAGTTATCCATTCAACAATTCTTACCTGATTTCTACTATGTATCAGGTGCTTTGATAAACACTGGGGATAGAGAAATGGTAAAGACAGCTTCTGACTCTATGCAGCTCTCAGCCTAGTGGGTCGCGGGTAGGGGGAGGGAACCACAAAGAATGGTAAAGAAAACAACAAGCACTGGATGGTAGTAGAGTCAGCTCCCTGAGGCAGGGAGGCAGGCTTCCCAGAAGTGGTGACATTTAGGTTGTGACTTCAAGGGGAAGTTTGACATTCCAATGAGAAGTCAGTACTGTATAAAAGACAGAAACTGGTGGTTTTGAGAAACAGATGAGCTTGTCCGTGTGCCTGGAACTCCAATTCCAGGCACTTGGAAGAGTGAAGAGGACCAGGCTGGAAAGGAAGGTAGGGTTTAGGTTTTGAGGAACCTTGCCCGCTGAAAGGAGGGGTTAGGACTTGTTATGCAGGAGACTGACATTCACAGAGTTGTGTTTTGGAACCTGCTCTTGCCTCAGGGTGGAGAGTGGACTTGCGGATGGGTAGGAAAGTCATTAGGAGGCTGCAACTTTGGAAACAAAAGCCATGGAGACTTGACCTAGGCCTAGGGTACTGGGCTACCCATGAAAGGAGTGGTGATAGAATTCCTAGGAGTGGCCACAGGAGTTTGAGAAGTCAGTTTGGACACTACAGTAAATGATATCATTAGCAAAACCATCCCAGCTTTTCAACCCATTCTTTCAGACCCAACCCAAGAGCCCTTTCCTTTATAATACTTCTTCTTCCATCCTTTTCCCCTCAGGGGCCACTTTCTTTCCAGAATAGCTATGCTGGGAGTCAGCAGTGAGCTGCTTGCTCCTTTCCCTAAGCAGGAGGCTATTTTATATGTGTTAGGTCTGTTTCCTAAACCAGATTGCAGGAAACCCTGTTTCATGCTTCTCTAATAGTCATTCCAATGATAGTCTCACAATGTTGGGCATTTACCAGGTGTTGTCTGCAGTAGGCAGTGGTGCCTAGCACTATGCTTGCAAAGAAAAATTTTATTTTGACTTAAGAAAAGAAAAACTTTATTGAAGTATAATCAATGTGCAATAAACTGCCTATATAAAATAGACATAAAGTGGAACTTATCTGGTTAACACAGAGGCAGGAGGCCCAGAGTCCAGAACCCGTGGCTCCCTCTTGTCTAAGATTCCATGAGACACAACTGGAAAACCTTTGACTTGGTGGACTGGCCAAGGGTTTTGGAGTCAGCTAGAACTGAGTTCAAATCCCTGCCCTTTACTTGCTTAGCTGTCATCCAGCAGATAAATGGGGAAACTGCTCTGAGCCCCACTTTCCCCTCTGTAAATAAGTGACAGTAATACGTATTCTGTAGAGTTATTGTGAGGGCGAAGTAAGCTAATGTATGTAAAAATCTTTGGCACTTATTAAATGCTTATTAGGTCATGGCTGTTGTTAAGAATAATAAGACATTTGCTAACTCATTGAGTTATTGATCCTTATTGAACTGGCACTTGTTCAGTCTCAATAAACTTACTCAGGTTAGGAAAAGCCAGGGTTGGAGTGAATTTCTGGGTGAGTTTGGGATTCAGGAAGGACCCAATCTTGTCTTATGCTCCCTTCACTCCATAAACCCACAATCGCCTGCCTTTGCATGGGGGTCTATCAATATTTAATGTGTGGGTGTCCGTTGCTGTAAACTGAGTATATCCCAGCAGTGACTTGAATTAATTATGTGCGGGAGGAGAGAAAATAAAGTGCCTTTTTTTCAGAGCTCCAAGTTCTACTGGCTGCACTGAGGCCTGGAAACCACAGAAGGACGTGTCCGCTGATGGAGGACCCTGAGAAGAAGCTGAACCAGAAGAGCGACGGCAAGCCCCGGAAGGTCCGATTCAAAATCTCTTCCTCCTACAGCGGCCGAGTGCTGAAGCAGGTCTTCGAAGATGGGCAGGAATTAGAATCGCCAAAGGAGGAATACCCTCACAGTTTTCTCCAAGAGTCCCTGGAACCCATGGATGGTGTCTACGGGTCTGGGGAAGCCCCCAAGCCCCGGTCCTACTCCCCTAAGCTGACTGCTCAAAGGATCAGTGTGTTCAGAGAGGGCAATGCCTACACGTTGGCGGGCAGCCAGCCTTTCTTCAACGATTTCAAGGCAAATGACCATAAGGTGGGTATTGCGTGTGGGGTATAAGCGTTAAGGACTAAAGTGAGTTTAGAGAAGCACCTGAACGTTTCAAATTTGTATTATACTAGCCAGGGCTATAGGTGCACCAAATGGGAAGTCCCTCTTAGGATAATATTTCTGGGAAAACAATAGCAAGCTTGTGGATTAGTCATTGGAAATTGTAACAAGCACGAAAGTATTCAAATTCCATCCAGGGTAAGAAAAAAGAATTGCACCGGGTCTTTGGCTGGGTTACCTCAGTAAGGAAATTACATAGAGGTGCTGTGGTTTTCAGGTTGACCGACTGTTGTTTTAGAAAATAATGTAGCAACTGGTCGTCTTGTTTCCTGGAAGAGCTAAGTGTTTGGAAGTGTTCATTTTACTCCAGGCAGTTATTCAGCATGTGGTTTATCCATTACTTGTTTTTTTCTCCCCATCTCCCTCATGCTGCCTGCTTTCAAACAATGTCTGTCTGTCTGTTAGTTTATGTATGTTGCCCTTTCATTGTTCATTAGCATGAACACTGGGTAGGTGGAGTCCTGGGAAGAGATGGTGAAGAGCAAATCAACCAGAGGAGATGTTACACAGGGGAAGAAGTGTGAGCTAATAGTTCATTTGAAACATGTACTTTTATTTGTGAATGCCAATGGTCTTCTCCAGTAGCATGGATAATCAAAAGCCCAGGCATGGTTTTCTTTTTAAGTTAGACGAGCCTGGAAAGGTAGTCACTGATTTCCAGAATCTCACAGGAGATGTGGATATGCTCTCTGCCACTGGGACTATGAGTGTGTTTCTTAAAAAAGAGCAAATACAGGTTATTAAGGAATAGCGTTTATGAGTAGGATTTATACTCCTCTTTAAAGTGTGAATTTCAGATAATTACTCTCTAATCATTTTTATTAGTTTCCTAAGGGAACAAACACTACATCTATAGCAGACAAATGTATTGGCCTTGCTAGCACTGAGAAGAGTGTAATTATGGGCATGTCCACATTTATCAAAGAGAGTACTGGTTTCTTTTTGGTCTGAAAGGGTGCTGGAAGGAACAGCCCCTTGTGTTTCTGGAGTGGCTTCTGCATCACAGAGCACTATCACGTACTATCGCATTAGGTCTTCACGACAATCTTGAGGAGGATTGTGACCACTCCCATTTTGCAGATGAGGAACACCGAGTGCCACATTGTTAAGGGACTCAGCCAATATGGTCACAGGTGCAGAGTCAGAGTAAGAACCCAGGTCTTCTGATTCCCCATACTCTTTTTCCTATGGAATATCCCTTTTTTAGCGAAGAAAGTCACTACTAATAATGTTGATGATAATAATATTGGTACCATTTACTGAATGCTTATTATGTCCTAGGTACATAGCTGTCTAGTACTTATAGTACCTCATTTTACCTAAATCTTATTTATAGGTTTAGAATTTACAAATCTGTAGTTTATTCAGTACCTTATGCAAGGCCATAGTAGATAGTACTGAACTGTTGACCTTTTTAAGTCAGTATACCAAACTTGGCATTCATATAAATTCATGTATGATTAGACATGGGTTTATAAAGCCATACACAGCACGGTAGATTTAAACACCAGATTCTAGAGGCCATGTTCAGGGTTAGATTCGTGTCTGGTTTAGTTATCCTTGTTTTCTTTGTTGCCTGATCACATGCCACATCCCAGACTAGCCAGCCTTTCCGTGTAAGAGGGATTAGGATGGATTCATGCACCTGCACCCACTGAACAGGTTGTCAGTGTGGTGTTTATGAAAAGTAAGGAAAACGAGAGCTGGGAAGTCATGAATTTTCAATAGTGAACCCAATTGTAAAATAACTCCTAGTAAATACTGGCTGTGAGGCAACATTAGGTAGTAGTTAAACACAGTAATTAAAAACAGAGGCTTTGAACTTGAACAGATATCTGTATGCCCAGGTTTATAGCAGCTTTTTCCACAACTGCCCAAAGGTGAAAACAATCCAGATGTCCATCAATAGGTGAATGGACAGTCAAAATGTTGTATATACGCACACAATGAAATATTATTCAATCTTTAAAAAGGAAGGAAATTCTGACACGTGCTACAACATGGATGGAATCGGAAGACATTATGCTAAGTGAAATAAGTCACAAAAGGACAATCATATGATTCCACTTATATGAGTAGTCAGATTTATAGAGATAGAAAGGAGAGTGGTGGTTGTCAGAGGTTGGGGGTGGGTTGGGGGAGGGCAGAGAGAGAAGGAGGAGTTATTGTTTAATGGGTACAGAGTTTCAGTTTGGGATGAAGGAGAAGTTCTGGAGATTGATGATGGTGATAGTTAACACCACAGTGTGAAAGTACTTAAAGCCACTGAACTGTTCACTTTGAAATGGTGAAAATGGGTAAATTTTATTTTATGTTTATTTACCACATCAAAAATAACGTGTGTGTGTGTGTGTGTGTGTGTGTGTGTGTGTGTGTTTAAATAAACAAGGGCTCTGATGTCGGTTAAACTTGGGCATAATGTCCATACTACCCACTTACCTGGGTGAGCTTAGGCAAAGCCACTTAAACTTGCTGAGCTTCAACGTCATAATCTATGATATGGAGGTAATAAAAGTACCTGCTTCCAAAGAGTGTTGTGATTAAAGAGAGATAACAGATAAGAAGCCCTTGGCATTGTGCCTCGCACATTGTATATGCTCTGTAAATGTTACCTACCACTGCGATAATGACCAGGTTCTTATGAAAGAAACATTGAGACTTTTAAAAACTTTATGTGGTAAATAGAGAAAGTGGTTATAAACAATAAAATATTTTAAGGAATTAAAACTGGCCAAAGCTTATAAGGTCCATAAAAAATGGAAGGGGAAGGAAGAGAAGTAACATCCCCTGAACACCCACTTTGTACAGAATACGTAAATTCAGCCTTACCACAATTCTATGAGAAAGAATTTGACAAATTGGGGGGAAAAAAAGAAGTTCATAGGGGCTCAATAAGTGGCACATCTCACACAGCTGTCTAATAACATTTGAATACAATTGAAACTCAGATCTGCCTGCCCCCAGAGTGCATTGCCTTTCTCCTGCCTGGTGATGTGTTTAAACCCAGAGCAGCGGTGAGGTGTCATGGTGACTGAATAGCAGCTTCAGACACTGCCATTGATATCGGGATACTTATGAGGCTCAATCACATAGATTACCATTCTGGGCACTGTGGAAGGAAACATAAAATTCCTGGCTCCATCCTGGCCCTCTATCATGTACGAGCAGGTGTTCCTCGCAGGCCATCGGATGCAACCAGATCATGTGAAGTTTAGTTACACCCGGAGCCGTTCCTTAGACACCAGGAAGAGCTTGGCTGTCAGGGTGCCTGAAACTTAAACACACCTTCAGGGTGATTTGGGACCGTCCACCTTTGGAATACATTAAACATAAATGGACTGTCCTGGCTGTCTCAGATACTGACCAGCTGAGAGGCAGGCGGTGGGTCGAAGCAGAGGGCTGCAGAGTTTTTTCAGTATATTGAGAGTTTTGCCTGGAAAAAAAGAAACCAACTGTAGATGCGAAGAAAGCTCCCTCGTAACCGAGCCTCTGGGGCTATTACTGGAAGTGGAAATGGAACCTTCCAAAAGTGCCACCATCTTTATCTGCTGATGCTCAGAAGCTGATAGTCCAGAGTGCGAAACAGGAACCCCACGCGCACCAAGCGGTAGGAAATGGAAGCTGCCACATGATCCCTAGAAGAGAGGGAGGGAAACCAGGCCGGGTAGGAAGCTTGTGGCTTCATGAATAATTATTGAGAGCTCCGTGGATGTTTCAAGGAAGGGGACCTGAAAATTGGACCCCGGCCCAAGCCAGATTGAGACTGCTTCAGTGGAGCATCTAACAGACTGGGTGATGTAGTTCTGCAAAGGCAGGACAGAACATTTCCCACCGAAGCATGCGGTTGTGTAGCATGATGGCACATGCGCTAATGACCAAAGGAACAGTTCTTAATAACAACAGCAGTAGCAGTGCCTACCCTCTGCATGGTATCTTCAGCATTTGCAATCCCTGTTTTATATCTTCTTTAAAGGACCACTATCTCTGGAAGAGGACATAATTAGCCTCAGGGAAGAGTGTACAAATATTTAATTGCTTAATAGACCCGGAAGCCAGTGAAGAGTTGAGGGCATGGTCCTAAGTCAACTTTTATATGACTGGCTGGAGAGAGGCTGGAGTAGCAGGAGAGCGCTCAGGAGTCTCAGGACAGCACCTGCTTACCAGCCAGTGTAGAAGCATGTCTGTGTTTTAATAATGAATTGGTCTCTGGTGGTTAGTGCATGCCAACGAGATGGCAGCCCATTTATAGATGAACACACCGAGGCGCTGGGAGGCCAAATGACTCTCCTTTATCTCACAGTTGGTGAACAGTGGAATTGAGATCCAGTGTTTCCCTGCGAGCTGTCCTAGCTCTGAGAAGAAAGGTGTGTTCTTAGCTGAGTAACCCCTAAACATTTAGTCCCCTGCTTCTCTACTGCCCAGATGATTCCTCAGCAGATGGTTAAGGCACACGTGAGAAATCCAGCAAGGGAGCAGGAGCTATTGAAAATGATGCTGTTGAAGTATATTTATTGACATAAAAAGATTTTCATAGATAAAGAACAGAAACAAGTTACAACAGATCTTGGGAAAGTGATTGTGAATGGTGTAGTGTAGGTGCTAAGAATTTGGATTTAGAGCGAGACAGAGTTAGATTTAAATTCCAGCCAAGACCCTGAGTAACTTTGTGACCTTGAGATACACTTAACCCCCCTGAGGCTTGGTCCCTTAATCTGCTGAATGTGGAAACCATAGATCTACCTCATAGGGATGTTCAGGGGAGAAGTGAGGTAATGTTTGTAAAATGCTTAGCACAATGTCTGACATCATAATAACAACAGTAAATGCTCAATAAATTGTATGTGCTATTATTACTTATGCAAAGAAACAAGTTTGAGTGACATTTTAAAAAAAGCATTCCTTTGTGTTTTTTAAGCCCTCATTATGCCTGGCCCTACATCAGCTGCTCTGGTATGTGGTTGGAATAGGCACTTTGGACCCTAACCCTGCAGAGTCCAACACTCTAGTTATATGACTAGTGTAGCTTTGGTTGGCTACCATCAACAGGAAGAAAAAGATGGTTGCCATGGTTATAGAGAAAGCAAACAAACTAGGGAATGAACTAGAGATTTGTGGTCTGATGGGGTCACAAGTGCAGAAGAGTAGAAGTTCCTCCTGTCCTATTTCCTGGGACAGCGAGCAGCTTCTGCAGCCCTGTATTTATTTGGTGACTGTTGGTGGAGGTTCCAGGCTCATTCTCCATTTCTCTAGTCCCCACCTATTATAGATTTTGGAAAGATAATCATCTACACGAATAACCTGAAAATCATTCGAACCCCAATGGACAAGAGAGATTTCATGAGGAAAATTCTCCAGAAGGAAGAGGAGATCGAGGAAGAGGCTCTGATGACCAAAGAGGAAATCTATGGAGATAGCGACCAGAACAACGGGCCTTTGGCGGAGACAGAAAGCACGTTCCCCCACAACCAGTACCCCCAGGTGCGTCAGCAGGTCACTGTCCCCCCGGGAGGGCCCTACTGCAGTGGTCTCCAAATGGTCTTGGTTGTGCACTGCTTCAGTAAAACTTTCAAATATGACTACATACGATGTCTAAATACTAAAGATGTTATGGATTTTATTGCATTTTAATGGCACATTGTTAGCGATAATAGTGGTAAGCCCATATTTCAAACACTCCTCATTTTAATTTTTTGGATGGCTTCTTTTGAGATCTGATTAGATATCTGTTGTTTTCACTTTGCAATGTGGCTTAGAACATCTTGCTCTAAAAATTAGCTCTGCCCTTTTCATGGTGGTTTTATGGGTTCTCTTGTGCTTCTATTATTGGGGTCCTCAATCCACAGTTTCCTTGAAGAAACTTAATAAAGCTGCAGTTCCTTAGATTTTGTAGAGATGAGTTTAGTAAAAACTAACAGTATAATTTGTAAAGCCACTAGGCCAGGTACAAGTAAACTGCAAAATGTGGAAAGTGAATGACTGAGCTGGAACACCATTGCCTCTTTACATAAAGTGGGGTCCCTTTACATCATGCTTATTCCAGGGTCCCTTGGGTACGTTTTTATAGTGACTGCCAGTCTTAGTGAGGGCACCTGTTAACTAGTTTATTAAAAATTAGGATAACAATTTCTTTTGAAAATATTATTAAAGCTAACTTCTTGCCACCTTTAGGTAAAAATATAAATAGCTCCCCGCCTTGGAAACCATTGCTCAGACATGCTAAGAAGGGAGTGGAAGACTGATAGTATTCACTAGTTCTTAAGGTGGGGTGAGTTGGGAAAAGCAATTTTGATGAAATTAAGCTAAGAGAGTAAAAGCTTGAGTGGCAGCAGAAGTGAATTTTTTTCCTCTTTACATTCTATCTCTTGGGACTTGAAGCTTTCTCTGGGGCACACTCTCACCTTCCTCTTGTTGGCTTCCTTGCTCCTGACTGATGTCCCCACCTTGGAGGCTTAGGGGACAGGAACAAGAGGGTCATGACCAGACCAGACTTTATCAAAAGCCTCTTATTGAAAGTTCTGCTCACAACCTCTCGTGTCTCTTTCTAATCTGATCACTCAGTGAGAGATTTTTAAAATACAAATCTGATTGTGTCATCCCTTCATCATCCCCTTTCCCCCACCCCAAACTTTCAATAGCTTCTCTTCACTTGGGATAAAACCCAAGCTCCTCACTTGTTCTAGAAAGTACTGTGTGCCTGGCCACTCTTGACCTCTTCAGCCTCATCTCTTACCACGTCTCTCCTCATTCTCTCCATCCCAGAAACACTGCCTATCATGTGTTCTTTGCTTTTTCTTACTAGAGGCAACTCTGCTGGACCTTAGATATTCTCCAGATTCCCTGACACCTTTTCCTCAGCCCCTGATCTGAGTGGAGACATCCCTTCCTCAGAGCGGCCTTCCTGTCATCCATGAGGATAAATTCTCAAGAAGGGACCCCTCAGGGCAGTTCACACTCCTCCTCACAATTGCAGTCTAATACTTATTTGGTTAATGTTTGTTCTCACACATAAGATTTAGTCTCCATGAGGGCAGGGCCTATATGTATATTGGTGTAACACAATAGTTCCATTGCCTCCCATGATAGAGCCTGGCATATTATAAGTGCTCAATAAATAGTAATTGTTTGTGGAAAGAAGATTGGCATTTGGAACCAAGTGTTCTGCCTCTGCCTTCTCTAGATAACCCTACTCAGAACTTGGCACAGCAGTAGGCAGACAGCCAGATGTTGCCATCCAAGGCATTCTTTCCCCACTGTAACACCCATTCATTCTATTCTTTTTCACACCATATTACCACTTGTAGGGGCATATATTTTCAGAAGAGAGCCAGAAAAGCTAGCATATAGGTCCCACTGCAGCCCTGAATGCAAAAGCAACAACAGGCCCGACATGACAATTGCCTTTCAATTCAGTACGAAGAGAGCCATGTTTCTTAGCTGGAATGCCATAAACCAGCACAGAGGTGTGCAGCACAAACTGCTGTGAAAGGTTATACTTCACTTGGCCTGTCCTTAAAACTGTGTTTTAAATGGCTATTTGTTTTCCCAATCCCTCATGCAGTAAATGCCCAGACAAAATTATTCTAGAAAAGGGTCAAAGAACACCAAAGAGCCCCTCCCAACCAAGGGAAGTAGTGGGGACATTGATGAAAGGGCAGGGAAAGGCTAATGCCAGGCCACGCTGCACCTCTGTAATAACTATAAGAGTAAGGAGAGGGATAATTGAATTGAGCCATTGTGAAACATGGAAGGAAGGAAACCTGGCTCTGGGTTCAGTGGATTTGAAACCACAGATCATCTAGGCTCTTTTATGCTTCATCTGGCCTTGCCTTTGAAATAATAATAAGAAGAAACAAATAATAGTAATAATAGTTACAGTTTATTGAGGGCCCATGATAGCCTGGCACCATGCCCAATGCTTTCCATGCCAGAGTCCATGTCATGCTCACGAAGACTCTGTGAAGTAGATATTTTTGGTGATCACATTTTGAAACTGGGAAGCGAGGCTCAGAGAAGTTAAGTAACTTACCAGAGGTCATCAGAGTCAGTAGTCAAACCCACCTGACTGCCAATCTCATGATCATAACCACTTAGCTAAGCAGCCTCCGGATTGGCGTTGGTTACCCTCTTCAGAGCTAACAAGCTTTGAGCCTGCAGTGAAAGCCCAGGCCCCTTTCCTTGGTCATTGAGCTGGTGGGAGGTGGTTTGAGAGGTTTGTTGGTTTTATAACCTGCACTATGTTGTACAACCATGTTCTAAGTCCTCTTACTAAATGTTTTCTAAGAAGAATTTTAAAAAATAATGAGACAAGAGTAGAGACTTGATTTATTGAATCATTAAATAATTAAATGAATATGTTGAGGTGAGTAGTTGGAAAGGGAGGTAATTCGAGTTAAGGATAGAAACTCCAATGCTCAGCTGGTGTGGTTCAGTAGTTGAGTGTTGACCTATGATCCAGGAGGTCATGGTTCAATTCTCTGTCTGGGTACATGCCCAGTTTACAGGCTCAATCCTCAGTGTGGGTATGGAGGAGGCAGTTAATCCATGACTCTCTCATCAATATTTTTTTCTCTCTCTACCTCTCCCTTCCTATCTGAAAAAAAAAAAAAATTTTTTTTAAAAAAAGAAACTCAATATATTGTACAATCAGGTAAAATTTGATTGATGGTTTGGTTTTGTTCCCTACAGTGAGCTCACCAGGCCATTTTGTTAATCTTTCACTATTTGTCCTGGCATTCTAATATGTTAGGATTTTACTGTACTTTCTTTGACAACATTGACTTGTACCATCAAACTCTCTCTGGGATCAAGTCTAAAACATTAAAATGTGTGGATTTGGCAGAAAAATGGACTGTGGCAATTTGCTTTAAGAACATTTTGGAAAATAAATTTATTTTGAATACTTTAAGGGAAGGAAACACATTTCTGCATTGTTAATATCAATATGGGCAAGAATCAATAAAATATTAACAAAACGGTGCACAGACATGATTTAGGTTTTCTTCAGTTGGAAAACACTCCCATTCTCTAAATCTAGAAAGAATAAAGTATAATACCTCCTTGGGCACTGTGCAGCACAACAGAGCTATTTGCAGAACTAATGCCTCCCTTTTCAGAGATTATTTTTATTATTAGGTTATAAAATAAAGCTGTTAGCCGGGTGGAGCCACCCACTGGACTCCAGCTGTGTCGGAAGTGCCTAGAATTAAGAAAGGGAAGGATTCTCGAGACAACATTGTTTTGCTTGTTCATTTGGCAAATATCTGAACAGCTGATATTTTCCTGGCTCCACACTAGATGTGCAGGAAGTGATGGTGAAAGGGACCACACAGCGAGCTTCCTGTCTAGTTCCCAGGAGCTCTCAGTAGAGTGAGAGACCTGCCGTGCTTGGGGCAAACTCCTGTCCAGAGGTTGGGTGGACAAGACTTATTGACACCTGAGAACATGGGTAGTGGCTGGGTTTGGCAGGGGCACAGGTTCCTGGAGACCAGCTGGAGAGAGACCAAAGGACAGGAGCGTGTTGAAAAATGTAACTAAGCATTTAAATCCTCTGAGGAATTTGGTTTTAATCTGAAGTTTATCTGGGAGGCAAGTGTTCATTAAAAGGTTTCTTGAGTGCTCTGTGGCAGTCACAATGGCAGGCAACTTAGTAAAATTGGCATTAGTGGGGAGAATGGCCACCAGACTGGAGGCAGGTGTCCACACTGAATTCCTGCTGCAGCTGGTAGAGGTCGGACTAGGGTTGTGACTGTGGGGTGGAAAAAATTGAATGGGTTTGAAGGTAAATGAACAGGATTTGATGCCAAATCCACCTGTATAGATTTGGTATTGTCCCTTGTTTCTTGGAAGGTTATAGGTCTATGTATGATCTTTGCACAGAGTCCAAAAACTGCCAATTTTCTTGAGATGTTTTAGGAAAATAACACATTGGTAGACAAAGGGCCTTTTTCTGTAGGGTAGGAGTGGAAGACTGGAGACTTATTAGCAAGGCTTAGAAGTGAACAAACTCTCATGGAAAACCCATTAATATGCCACATAATATGGTATTTTTTTTTTTTTGTACTCTCTCAGGTGACATTCTAGCTACCATACTCAGAGAGATAAGCATTATCACTCCCATTTCACAGGGAAAGAAATGGAGATTTAGAGATTAAGGGAACTATGCAAAGTGCATTCTTGATATTAGAGGCAGGGCTCAGTCCCAGGCTCTTGACTCCAGAGCAGAGCTCTGAATCCTGGGCCTTATGACAGTTCTCAAAGAGAATTAGGAGAAAGTATCACAAGAAATCAGAGCTAAGCTTCCAAGGATTGTGCCATCACTTCATTCATCCGCTTAGTCTCACAAAACCTTCTGTCTTGAGCATCTACTTCAGATAACTACAATGAGGGGCCGTGTAGTAGTTAATATAATAGGAGCATAAACTCTGGTGCTCAGCTGCCTCAGATAAAAAACAGCCTCTTCTTCTTCAAGCTGCATTACAGTCAGTGAATAACTGAATTTCTGTCTCATTTTCCCACCTGTAGCACAGGGATGGTCACCCTTACACTGTCTCAGGGGATTGTTGGGAAATTAGATGGATTGGTATATGAACAGACGCTCTTAGAACAGCGCCTGGCACTTACCAGTCATGCTTCAAATACATACTCTTAGTATTTGGCAACAAGGAAGCCCGCATCTTTGCTCTCATGGAACATGCAGAAATTGCATGTCAGATGATAGTGACGAGGGTGATGAAAAGCATCAAGTCTTGGGACGTGAGGCGTGGTGGCAGGGGATGCTGCCCGAGAGATGTCCACCAGGGGAACCCTCTCTGATAAACTCGCTGTGATTATTCCGTGCCTCTGACCAGTCCCCTCATCCCGTCTGTGGGAAGCATTTTCCTCTTGTTCTGTGCCAGCCTCTGCCCAGCTCAGCGGTGTTTTCACCTGCATGTGATCAATCAACTCGAACTGCTGCTGTTACTAAACCCTGACCGTCTCTTGCAGGAAGGGGAGCTACCAGATGACAACTGCTTTCACTGCCGAGGCTCGGGCAGTGCCACCTGTTCTCTGTGCCACGGCAGCAAGTTCTCCATGCTGGCCAACAGATTTAAGGAGTCCTACCGGGCCCTGCGATGCCCTGCCTGCAACGAGAATGGCCTACAGCCCTGCCAGATTTGCAATCAATAGCCCACGGCTTTGAATGTTGGCTTTTATCGCACCCTCTCTAACGCTGTTTCTAATAAATTGCCCCCACCCTCCCTCTCCCAGCACAGAAGCCGCAGTGGCTGCGCTCGCTTCCATCGCTGGCAAAACACAACAACCCTCCTCCGTTACTTGATGACATTTCACAAGGCTAGTCATATCTCCATGTGGGTCTAAGTGGCAGAGGTATTTTCGAATTACAGTGGGCTCTGAACTGGTTCTAAAATGATCCTTCCAGGAATGTGTGCGTGCATCTCCCTTGCCTGAGCTCAGTTTTCTCCTTGCACTAGTGAACCAATGAAGGCCCCTTTCTGGCAGTAGGGTGAAGTCATTTTCTGGCTGGGAGTGATTTTGCAAACTTATGCAGTGAGGAGGGAATGAAAAAGGCAGGTTTCTGATGAGCTGAATTCCTCTTGCTTAGAATGCATCTCAAAGCGTCATTGGTCAAATTGAAATTTTAATTAATCGGAAGGAAGGGATGCCCAATGGCCCCAGTGCACTTAGCAGGCCGCTGAAAACAAAATGGCAGGTCCGGCAGGTCCACGCTTTGTGCTGAAGATAAGCTGGCGGAGGAGGCATTTCTTTCAAAGCCCCCAGTCCCTCCTGTGAGATGGGCGTGGGTGAGCCCCAGGCAGGTGACAGCAGTGCTCCTTAGGACAAGATGAGACCAGACATGCCTGCGTGCCTCCTAACTACTGAGGATAGAAGCCAAGTGAAAGCTTTCTGTGATCAATTTGGTGCTTGAGTACCTGTGAGTGATATCACTTCTTCCCTGAATTATTCCCAAATAAATCTATTTTCAGTGTAAGATAGCCACAAGCTCCTCATAGAAGACTCTGCATGTTTTCTAGGCATACAGAAAGCCTTGAAAAGAGAAACCAACCAAGGCTGAATTTTAGCAATTATCTTTCTGCTGTCTGTGAATACACACACAAAGGATCAATCTTTCCTCTTCAAGTTGGTATAAAATTAGAAACATGCTTTTGTTAATGGACTTTATAGCCCAGTCCCCTTGAAATAACACTGTAAAATCTGTTATCTATTGAGATGCATTGCTTTTCTATGATAGTTATTTGGATTTTCATAACAATTTTTTCAAGATTTGTTTGTTAGCCTGTGATATCCAGCTATTAAAACTCACCAGTGGAATATAGCACTTTTCAGGCACTAGAAACACTTCTAATAAAAAGATTAAAATATTCTCCAAAGCCATGGTCATTCTGCTTTTCCTCGCTTAGCCAGAGGAATAGAACTGTCATTGGCTTTCTTTGCTTCTGCACTCAACTACTTCCTGACTTTGTTTTCTCACAGCTGTTGACTCTTCCATCTTTCCAGAGCATCAGAGGCAGGAATGATGTCAAGAGACCTGACAGTGTAGTCTTTTCTTTGTGGTGGGAACATTGGACCACAGATGCTGTCTGAGCCCTGCACAGGGGACTGCAGGACGGTATTGCCAGGTGCCTGGTGTGTGGTGCTTCCCAGGCAGGCACCACCCTTTTGGCATCTCATGGGACTTACAGTTTCGGTGGCGGAGACAGATGCCTAAACATGTTATTACAATGTGGTATGACAAGTTCTTGCATTAGGGGAATTTCAAGGAATGGTAGAACATGTAGAGGGGACACCAAATGGAGTGTAACAATATTTCCTTTCCTTCCTACAGGCTTTTAATATTTTTTATCCCATAAAAATGCATTTACAAATGATTGCATGTATTTATTCAGTCAATAAGTATTTGTTGAGCACCGGGACTATATCAGTAGGAAAAAGCACCCCCACGGAGCTTACCTTTTGGTGGGGGAAATACTAGTTTTGACTCTATCATCTATTTATCTATCTAGATAATGAGAGAGGAACAACTAAAAATACAAAATACAGAATAAAAGTATGTCGGTATATGATAATGTGTTAGAAAAGGGTAAATGCTCTGATGAAAACTAAAATAATAAAGGTGATTGAGAATTAGGAGGGGTTGCAATTTTAAATTAGTTTTCAAGGAGGTGTCATTAGAAGGTATCCTTAAAATAAAGGCCTACAGGAGATGAGGGAGTGAATCGTGAAAGTATCTAGGGTATGATTAGCCCAGGCACAGGCGATGGCAAATGCTAGACCCTGAGGAAGGAGGGCCTGGCAGGTGTGATGGGCAGCAGAGAAGCCCAGGTGGCTGGAGCGCAGTCAGATGACAGTGGCAGGGAATGGGGGAAGAAAGAAGGTGCATATGTGTTGGGGCGAGGGAGTGCTTTCCTGGGAGGTCATTGTAAACTTGGGTTTTACTAGGAGTGAGGTGCTTCTCTGGATAGGGTCTTCTGTCAACCCCACACCCCTTCTGTACCTTCCTCTACTGCTGGGGCAGGAGACTTGCAAACTGCATTTCCCAGACTCCCTTGCCTGCTGACTTCCTGTTAATTTCTGCCACTGAAAGGTACTGGCAGAATCAGAAGAGTCTTCATTCCACCTCCCTCCTTCTCATACATACTCCCAATGAGAATGCTGGAAGCCTTGCCCACGTGGCAGCTGCATGAGTAGCAGCAGCAGCTGGGAATGTTGGCTCAGGCAGCTCGGTTCCAACAGTGGTCATCTCAGAGGCTCTGACTGCAGGTTCATGCCAGTATTTTCCCTTTGGTTCCTCCAACCTAAGTGAGGGAGTGGCTTCCTGCTGTTACTAATGTTTGTAATCAACTCCCTATAATAAATACTCCCTCTCTTTGAAATATTGGTTTCCCGATTGGATGCCAATTGATACAAATGCTTTGAGTAGAGGAGGGTCAGGATATGATTTACATTTTAACAAGCCTTTCTGGCTGCTGTGGTGAGGGAAGACACTATGGGACAAAAGTGGAGGTGGGAGCCCAGCAAGGATCCTGGTGAAGGCTTAGGGTGGCCTGGGCCAGTGTGGTTTCAGTGGGAGTAGTAAAAGTGGTCAGATTGTGGATATATATTTTCAAGGTAGAGCCATAGGGTCTGCCTACTGCCCTTTGTACCCAGAAATATTGCTTCTGACCTACTGTATGCAAAACATATATGAGGTCTTTGCATATTAATGGAGATAACATTTGCACTGAAATATCCACTTCCTGATTGTGATCTTAAAAACATTGTCAGTAGCTGAAACCGGTTTGGCTCAGTGGTAGAGTGTTGGTCTGCGAACTGAAAGGTCCCGGGTTCGATTCAGGTCAAGGGCATGTACCTTGGTTGGGCACATCCCTGGTAGCGGGTATGCAAGAGGCAGCTGGTCTAGGTTTCTCTCATTGACATTTCTAGCTCTCTATCTCTCTCCCTTCCTCTCTGTAAAAAATCAATAAAATATATTTTAAAAAAACAAAAACAAAACATTGTCAGTGGTTTGGGCAGGATCGGGATACATTTAGGGCGAGGTTGGCCCACTGGTACTCGTAAGACTAAGAATTCTTTCAGAGCTAGCAACAAATATGAAGGTTAAATAATATAGTGATGCTGTGCTTAAAATAATGCTATATCCTTTGAAAACTCAAAAGTATTTTTAAATGAATACATGTTTTCAAAAGATACCTAATCACTTATTCATTGAGCAAATTTTCTCTGAATGTCTACTATGTTCCAGGCATTTGTGCAGGGTCTTCTGATACAGAGATGGAAACACACTTAGTAGTTATCATTAATGAGACTATACTCTCAGGCCTCTAGTCAGCATAATATGAATTTGATCTTACAACCCAGGGAGGTCACTGTTGCTCCCCTCTGCTGCTTACTCCAGTGACAAGCAGTGCCTCTGCTTGGCCAGGTGGGCTGGGCCAGCAGTCGGTCAAGGTTCTCTTGCATAATTAGCTTATTTATTTTTTTAAAAAAATATGTATTTTATTGATTTTTTACAGAGAGGAAGAGAAAGGGATAGAGTGTTAGAGACATCGATGAGAATCATCGATCAGCTGCCTCTTGCACACCCCTTACTGGGGATATGCCCGCAACCAAGGCACATGCCCTTGACAGGAATCGAACCTGGGACCTTTAAGTCCACAGGCTGACGCTCTATCCACTGAGCCAAACCAGTTTTGGTGTATAATTAGCTTATTTATTTGTTTTAACAAGTATGTAGCCTCTGCAATGTGTGCAGGACACTGTTCTATGCGCTTGACACTAACTCCTTCAATCATCTTAACAGTCGAATTAATTCAATGTATTGATCATCTCTCAGTCCCAAGGGTGCATTGTTCCATTCCACCTCACACACCCCAGACTGTAAACATGCAGGCCCTTCTTGGGGTCCTTGAAAACATCTGGGCTTACCAGGCCTTAGTGAAAGCAACAAACTGTGCAGGACCTGGGGGAGATGCTTAGGTGGCTCATATTATATGATAGTAATGAGACAACTTAGCAAGAATTCTTTTGCTGACTGTGCTGGCCACTTAGAACCGTCCTGCTGGTATCTGTTTTCTTTCCTAGCTTTCTATCCCAGTTTACCCTCTGTTCTTCTTACTCTGGTGGGACTCTACTTCCGCCTGGGCTCAGCCTCAAGACCTCTCTACTCTTTTACACACTGAAAATCTGTGGGGCTAAAGGTTTCCTTTCTTAGACCCCACCTTCGTGGAAGACACTGTGGTTTGAAATGGCTGTATCCTCTCCTGCCTATCTAGGGGTAAGGAGGACAGAGTTCATACACCTTTGCTCTTACAACAACTCTACTTTTTCCCCCTGTTTTTATTTTGGCTTCCAGGTAAGATCCCTTTTGAAGAGGGAGCTGCACATTCAGTTTTTGAAATCCACATCAAGCATTAGCTTTGTTACCCATAATTTCCCTTTCCGAGTTAAATGGACCAAAGCTATCAATTAAGCTTAAATTTGGAGGAAAGACGATGTTGCCCTTGCTCTAAGTCTTGCACAGATGTGAATTGCTCTGTTAATATATTCATGGAGATGCATGCCAGTGACATTTATAAGAAACTTCTGTGGTTCACTAGAGCTTACTCTGAGTGGATTTTATGATAAATTTGAAAGAAATGTTCGCAGTT